TTTTGGCGTACAATGTACGATTTTGAGGTGTATAGATTGTATATACTGTATGTTTTTTTTACTATGAAAATAACGTATTAAATGACATTGTGATGATATTGTACGATTTTAAGAGTTTGAGGGTAAACAGGTCTGTTACAGTATTTAACTAATAATCATTTTGGGTAATATTAAGAAATGTACATAACTAGGAACCCACCAAATAATTTTTCTCTTTTAATTTAGCAAGTTGTGTTAAAATAAAATCATGTTTATAAGCAAATGGAAAACACGTAGTCCCATGCATTTCAATTCATAAGTTAGAGGCAGAGGCGTATTGAAATGTGTATATGGAAAGAAATGTTTTAAACTGATGATAAGAATGTTATCTTAATTGTATTATGTATAGTTTACGGTAAACATGATTGATCTAATCTAATTTTATGTGTGTGTGCATGTTAATATTCGAGTTTTAAGAAATCCAGTCAAATTGCAGACCACCTGCATGTGACAGAACAGTAACAGTGGTTTTTATTATTTACTTATTTACCCATGTCTAATTTTGTTGCATCATGGATAAGTGAGTGCCACTGTGAATGCATTCACATTACAAAATGTTGAATTTTAAGTTAAAGCCAGTATTGATACCAAATGTGTTTGGAAATTACCTTTCCAGGTTTTTCTTTTAAGATTTGTATTTTTTTATAAAGTTAATTATTAAATTTGATTTAAAGAAAGTTAAAGTTTTCCTTCTGATTTATACTATTTTGTATTCTTTAGTTTCAATTTCAATACTTAATGGTATATATATTCTCAACTGTAGCCACTACTCAAGTGTACCCACACCATTTTTTTTACCTTATGATGACTACAACTCACACCACCACCACCCCCACCCCCAGTGGAACCCAATTACAAGCATTATAAAAATAAATTTTTTCATTATCCTCTATGAAAGATAATTACACAGGACATGCAAAATATATTTGAACAATTAGTCAAAATATAAATGAATCTTTATTATTTTATTAATTCAATTATATGCTGCATAGTTTAATCAAGCGGTAACATTGGCTTAGTAATGGTGAACCAGGCATTTTTTAATGTCTGGTTTTAAGTCTCTTGGAAGAAACTTCTTTGACTATGTTAACATTTATTTCAAATGACATAGCGGTCATATCTACCTAAAATCAGCTTCCATCAAATACACTAAGAATGCAACAAGGACTTCAAGGAGCATTGTACTTTGGAGACTATAAATAAGATTGTCATACTAAGGCCAAAAAATTAAATAACACTTTAAACTACTTAAACAATAACATTAATCATAAAACAGATTTTTTTAAACCCACTGTGTCTTCCATCAAAAGAAAATTATCCAATGGCTCTACCAGATAATCATTTTGAAAAGTAACTCCGATGGGCTAGTAAATTATTATGGGCTCGAGGAGACCCTATATTGAGTGTGAATAGAGATAATTTGTACCGGTATTCAAAAGTAAGGATATAATATATAATTATTTTAAGGCTGGCATCATTCCATTGCT